ACATGGCAAATGGCCCCCGGGCCGGAACTGAGCCTGAGTCCGCCACGTTGGGGACCAAACCCCAGGTGAATCGGCCACCAGCTCTACCAACTGAGCTTCCTTTTCCCAGAGATGGCAAAAGTACACACATCCTTTACTCAAGTAGAAGAACAGATACTCGTGTTTAAAAATACTCTAGTAAAAGTAGAAGTACGGACTAAACTTCTTTACTCAAGTGAAAGTAAAGAGGCTTTGAAATGTCCTTCAGTAAAAAGTACCCATAACTAGCAGCTGTTTTAAAGAGTACCTGACCTCCCTTTATATTAAGAGAACAATAATGTCATTGTTAGCTAATGAATGTTTCCATGCTGAACAACGGCAACATGACAACGTTTTCATTGGTCCCTCTTCTTTAGAGAAGACCAGGAAATGAGGGATACACGGATCGTGTTCAAATCAATAGGCACGCAATGACTCTAAATAATAATGATCACGCCACCAAACACACATTCAAACTAAAGGAACCAGCCTGTTTGGGAAATGAGAGAAGTAGAAAGTACAGGTATTTGTGTTCAACATGTAAGAAGTAGAAAGTACAGGTATTTGTGTTCAACATGTAAGAAGTAGAAAGTACAGGTATTTGAGTTCAACATGTAAGAAGTAGAAAGTACAGGTATTTGAGTTCAACATGTAAGAAGTAGAAAGTACAGGTATTTGTGTTCAACATGTAAGAAGTCGTCAGAAAAATAAGTAGTGGAGTAAAGTACTGATACCAGAAAGATGTACTTAAGTGCAGTAACGAAGTATTTGTACTCCACTACTTCCCACCTCTGCTTCCTGTGGTAGAGTTTCCCCTCTCTGAGTGCTCCGCTGGCCGCTAAGGACTGGTCTCAGGTCAGAGTTTACTCGGACAACATAGGGACGCTGAGGAGATCCTTCACCAAACTGGTGGATGTGTGTCAGGCGCTCGAAAAGAATCTGTCTGCAGAAGGTCAGTAACTTCAAGAAATGGTTCGTTAAATCCTCAAATAAACACTTTGTAACTGTCTATCAATGGGCGTATTATACTTTATTGTAGGTGTATCACATGATGATTTGTCAAATGATTCAACAGTACATATACATGTTTGTAACTAACAATGATGTTCTTCTTTTCTGTAGAGATGAGTAAGGCAAGTCAATATGCAGGTATGTTTCTGAATATGTGAAATCATCCCATTGTCACTAATGTTTAACAAAAATGGCCATAAATAGGTACTTAAAGAGAAAATAACCGATTAATGACTTCTCGTTGAACATTATCCAGAGTTTTTATACATTATATATCCCTGTAATAAATACAGCAGACACAAAACTGATCTGAGTTCTGCAGCACTTCTAAACTGCGTGCCAAAAAGCTGCTTTTGTCCGCTATTTTCTAGGTTCAGTTTGTTATTTCTGTCTGAATGTATTGGCATACTGTACAGTTATTGTGTGTACAAAATATTTGTATAAGTGGAATATTGGACTTGTGAAATAGGACTTTAAACCCAATCACTGCAAAGTGGCACTCTTGTTTGAACTCTGCGAAGCTGTATGGATCTGTAATATGTTTTAAGGTGATATAGTCTCATTTGGTGAAGTTAATTGAATTTTATCTGACTCACAAACTCATTCTTTCTTTCCTTCTCCAGTGGATGTGACTTTGGATCCAGTGACTGCCTCTGCTTGGGTGTGTTTGTCCGCAGATGGGAAACAGGTAACATGTCATGGACTAATAAGACTAATGACGTAAATATCTGATATATTCCAACACTTGAACGTAAGTGATGTTGTTGTTGTGGATCTTCAGGTGAGCCTCAGCAGCCAGCAGAAGAACCCCCCCCCCCTGACGAGCCTCGCAGATTTGACTCCTGCGTCTCCGTTCTGGGGAAGCAAAGCTTCACCTCAGGGAGACGTTACTGGGTGGTCCAGGTAGGAACTCGGACCAGAACCAGATTTATTGCCAATGGGGTTTATATAATTTTTCCAGAATTCAACATTTCTGTATCTGCTTTCATGAGAAATGTAACTTGGGATGAGGGAAATACATTCAATAAGCACGTTTTTGAGGTTGATGATATTCCCTCTACTCTATACTGTTCTCTCCGAGTGCAACCAATTGTCAAAGGTTACAAGGATGTGTTCCTGCTTTATAGATTGGCTGTATTTCAAAAATAAAGTTGACCAATGGATGTCATCTATAAGCAGGCCCGTATCCAGGATTTCTTAAATACAAGGTCCAAAACATGCTAGGGGGGCTCGGGGGCAGGCCCCCCGACATCTTCTTTTGATTTTCATGATCTAGATATCTGTTTTCAAGACGACGAAGACGACATTAATTAAAATGAATGTCGTCTTCTTCTGTCTGCTCTAATGTAGGCTACGAAGTTGTGCAGCGCCCCCACCGCCATTAAATGGAACTACTACAAAGAACCCTGTCCAATATGTACAGTTATTATTTCACAACTTTTATTACACCTCGAAAGGTCCAGACCTCAGTGACCTCAATGGTGGGTACGGCCATGTCTATAAGTAAAGGAAAGAAAAAGATACTTGCACAGCCCTTGACATGAAATAATAGCTCTTAAATGCCCCCCTTGTGGCTGTAAGGATGTTCTTGGTAACAGGTGAAGACAAGATCATCAAGGACTGGAATACATTTCAATCCAACCTTGTCCCCTATTTCTAATCTTGGAGAGGGTGACAGAATACTTAAATTATGTCCTGTGGAGGTGTGTCTGACTTTTGTTCACAGGTCCGCTTGCATTTAGGAAAAGTGAGCATGGTTGCAGCTTTCATTTGCCTATATTTCTAATCTCAATTCTCTACGTTTGGTTTCAGGTCGGGGATAAATCAGACTGGGATCTAGGTGTGGCAAGGGAGTCCATCAACAGGAAGGGGGCGATCACGGTTCGCCCTGACACCGGATACTGGGCGATTTGTCTTCGAAAAGGCATCGAATTCAAGGCCTGTGCCGGACCCTCCGTCGCCCTCCATCTCCAGGAAAACCCCCAGAAAGTAGCCGTCTTCCTGGACTACGAGGAAGGGTCGGTGTCCTTCTACAACGCAGACGCAAAGACCCACATTTACACTTTCACAGGTTGTCTTTTCACCGAGCCTCTCTACCCGTACTTAAACCCGTGTCTTCATAACAACGGGAAGAACACCGCCCCGTTGATCATCTGTCCCGTTGAGGTGGGACCCCCTGCGGAGATTTATCTGGCCTTTTAGGGGTTAGTTAGTTAGTTAGTTAGATCCAGCATTTTAACAGGAGACTAAAGGCCCACTTGTTTTGGAGGGAAAAGTCCATGAGAATTTCCTTATCCGCCGTGAGAAAGTTAAAGTTTGACTAACACTATGCACTAGTAAATAAGGCCTTTAAAGTGTTTTAGACGTATTATTGATGTGCACAATCAAAGCCATCCACATATAACTCATGGATCTTCTGATCCCAGAACAGCCAACTAAACAAATCTGCCCTTTTGCCAAAACCACGTGATGCCCTTAAACAGCCAGTAGGGGGCAATTGCTCCAGTTGTATAGAAGTCTATGAGAAAAATTACTCTACTTCTTACTTGATTTATTACCTCAGGAAACCTTATCATGAGTTTTTGTTCTGGATTGCTAGTTTAGTGTCTTCTTCAATACAGCATGTTTATTTTGTAAATGATATTCCAATGAGTAATAAGCTTTTTGGTGGGGCCAACTTGTTTTCGACAGTTATCCTAATCAATATTGTCGGGTGTTGTCCATGTTTTTCTCTTAGGAATAACCCTTTTTTTTAATGTTTTATAAAAGTAAAAAATGTATTGCTACAACCAATCTTTGGAGCACATGTTGCTACCGTAAACAGGATTTTGATGTGATTGTAAATATGTTCTGGTTTTGGGACACAGTTATATAACTTTTTTTTGTAGGATGACAGACACTTTTGTTTTTATTTTTCCATATGTAAAAATAATCCTGACTTTATTTTTGTAAATATATATTTTTTAATTCCCGAAAATGAAACTGCTTCTCACATCTTTCTACAAAAATGTACGTGATGAGGAACTTTTTTTTGCATTTATTATTTAAGGAAAACATGTTTTACCCTCATAGATTAGTGTGCTTAATTGTTTCTTTTTGCCAACATTTGTAAACACAAATGATCAGAACATGTTTGTTTTTTATGAGGGTGTACAAAGACTGTAAATACTTTCAAAGTAAATAAATAAAAGTTGTATTCTTTCTAATTTGTGGCAATTGGAGTCAGGACTCAAGAGAGACACGAGGAGAGCTGGAGCTTTGATGGCAAACACTGAGGGTTTATTTGGAGCTTCGGCCGGAGAATTCACAAGACATGTCACGGGCCACGAGTTGACCACACGGTTGAGATGCCACAATCAATTCTGAAGACCCCTCCTATAGCTCAAGGTTTTAACTAGTTCAGAATCTAATAATCAACATTCTTCAATAGATAGACTAAACAGCTGAGGACACTGAATCAACTTTGTTGTCGCTTATGGCTAGAGGTCATCTACACCCCGAGAAGGATGCTCCAGGTGTCCCACAACAATAACTATCTCTGACCGACAGTTGCCCGGTCATAAACTGGTAACAACAAAATGCTAGGGCAGCCCCTCCTTAAGGCTGGGCATCTGCGTCAGAGGGCAAAAGGTAAACATGTATGGAAATTATTCCCTGACATAATTAAACTAGGATTCAATATTGTCCTAAGTTTCTGTTTCAAGTCTGTGATCACAGTGACTGAACTAATGTTGCTTTGAAACCAAATACACACCAGGTGGCGTGCTTTATTATTACAGTAAGTACATAAGCCGTTCAAACCGAAAGGAGATGAAGCCGTCTGAAAGCACTTAACCTGCTGAAATATGTGGGCGAGGTCGAAACAGGATTTAATGATGAGCATCGTGCTTTCCTTTATGATTGACTGGATTGGCAGACAAAGCAGCGCCTGTCAAAACACTCAGCATCAGAACTTCTTCAGAAATATGTTCATTTCTAGTCACCGGTTAAGATTTCAAATAGTTTCATATTGACTAAACACCTTAGGGCTTTATTGGTTTCAAAATGATGCAGGTATTCCAGGTTTTGTCAGTTCATTGCTTTAATCCTGCAGAAGACGTTTAACTGCAGTCTTAAGGTACGAACAGGTTCAATCAGATTCCTTCATGATATGTATTGAGGAAGCAAGTAGAGCTATTCCACAGTTTCAACAAAAGCAGGTTCTCTTTGGTTTCAAGGAAACAAAACACAAAGGATAGACTCCCCCTCTGTGATTAATTGGAGTAATGAACAAGCCTTTACCTAAATGATATGGCTGTACTTTAATAACACTAACAATGATTTGCACATACCGAGAGCTGCAAACAGACACACTGGATGTGATAGGTTTGGAAAAAAGAGCCCTTAAAATGGGACAGGCCTCGTGAGACCCCTGAATTTGGGGTGTATCTCGATTGGCCAGAATATGAGTCCAAGCTGGCATCACTTGTGAAAATGTTTGTGTTGTTGAGGTACACAGCAGAAATATACATAAATATAAATATGCTTCCATTTTTAGCCGTGCTTTGGGGATTCCAGCTGACCACTTTGGTGCAGACTGAAATGCCTCAACACATCTTTGACGGGTCTGCACACACTTTGGTGCAGATATTCATGTTTTATAAGAGAATGAATCCTACAGATTTTGGTGACAACAGACTTTACATGTAGTACCATCATCAGAACAAAACTGTGAGATTTCCATCAGCATCTGCTTAAAAGTCATGTTGGTATTAGCAAACATTAGCACACTAATGCACTTAGGATAGTCAACGTGGTGAACATTGTGCTTGCTAAACATCAGTGTTTATTGCATGTTTACTGTGAGAGTGAAGGTGAGGCTAACCTTAGCATTTAGCTCAAATCCCTTTTGTGTAATTGACTTAATTAAACCACATCTACATTTAAAAAAAAAAGTAGAAATACAGAGTCAGAGAAGCAGTTCAAAATGTTGAAAATAAACAATACATCTAAAGAGCCTGACACACCAAACTGACACCAAAGAACACGTCCCGACGGACCCGATTGTTGTGTCGCCTCACGTCTTGGCCAAAAAGTCGCACTGGAACACAGCAAAGACCGACGGCCAAGTACGCACTGCGCATGCGTGAGTGGCAATAACTCTCCTTACCAGCAGGCGGCGGTGGTGTGTATTCGTCATTCAAAAGAGGCAACAACGGAGGACAGACTGCGTGATATATACAAACAACAAATAGCGTGCGTTCCATTTTCACTCTCGTCCATCACAGACTGTTTCACTGTTTCACATAACGACTTATAATAGCCGTGTGTGCCTTCTTCACTTCCGTTTCGCTTCTCATGCACTAATTCGCTAAGCTGAAGAGCCAATCAGAGTCCTTTATTTTGCCGACAGCCGATTCGGTGGCGGAAGGTGTCGGCATGGCCGAAAAGACACAACCGTGCGGGACACACCAATCTGAATAGGGCAACAGGACGCTTATCGACGGCCAAAATACAACACATCACACCCGTCCTTCATTCCCTCCACTGGCTTCCTGTCTCATTCAGGATCGAATACAAGATCGCACTACTGACCCATCAGTGCATCCACGCGAACGCTCCTTCATACCTGAAGGAACTTCTCACATCTCAAACCTCCACACGCAACCTCCGCTCCACAACTAACCATCGGCTTCGCCCCCCGAGGACCAAACTCCACACAAAGGGGGATCGGGCTTTCTGTGCAGCTGCTCCTCGTCTGTGGAATTCCCTCCCAGACCACCTGAGAAGCCTCCAAGAAAGGCTTAAAAACCTTTCTTTTAAAAAAAGATTTTGATTAATTAATTTTGTTTGTTTTTATTGTGCCTCCTGTAGCACCTTGGGATTGCTGTGAGCAATGAAAGGTGCTTTATAAATCGAATTTATTATTATTATTATTATTATATTATTCAATGTCACTTTGTTTGCATCAATCTTGATACAGGGTACTTATTATATGTTGTACTTTGGATTCCTAAAGCTTTTAGTCTGCCATCCCAGGGATGGCAGACTAAAAGCTTTAGGAATCCAAAGTACAACATATAATAAGTACCCTGTATCAAGATTGATGCAAACAAAGTGACATTGAATAATATAATNACGTCTATGAAGTGTTTTGCTCAAAATACCAAATAGATCACCCATTCTAGCCATGCCTCATATCCCTCTATTTCACTTCCTGTTTCAAAAGTGCTGATTCTGGGTATAAACAGGTCTCTCTTGAGAATGAGACCCTGTGTCTCAATGAGATATTCACCTGTATAAATAAAGGCGAAATAAAAAAAATAAGAGGGGGCGGCCTAATGCAGGACCTGGCAGATACTGGGTGTTTGAGGACGCTTCCTTGGTAGGACATGTCCCTCCGAGTCGGGTCCTTCAGAAGCGAGGCAAGAATCCTTCCTAGCCTCGGAAAACGACGAATTGTGGAACAGGCTAAGAGGTGTGCGTCATATGCGAGGCCCCGCCTTAAATGGAGCGTGATTTCGGCCAAAGATTTGGAAATTGGTCCGTGTGCAAAGCATTGTGGGGATTTTAAGACACATGTGCATCCTCAAAATGTCCCGCAACGTAGAATTCCAAGGATCCTTTACATTGGAACAGTCCTTCGGCGGGACTCGATGACGTAGCATCCTTGAAATAGTGGCTCTGGAGAAGCCTTCCTCGACATTGAGAAATTTAAAATGCTGCGGTGATGAAACGCAAGGATTATTAAATCAAGGATTATTTCTGAAACAGTATGGAGCTCAAAGGGTTTCTCTCTTGCCGGTTATACCACAAGGTGAGTTCCTTTTTATTTCCTGCTTCTTCACACACATGCTCTCCAGTACAGGTTAGCTCTGAGTGTTAGCGATGCTAATGTAAACACCGACCATATTACGTCCAAAACAGTCGGGCATGGTTTCTGATAGTGCTGTGGGTCCGCCGCCGATATGACGTCATATCGGACGCAAATCTGGATCAGCTCCGTTGTTCCACCGTTTTTTGAGATTTGGGTACGGAGGAAAAGAGAGAGGGTTTTATTTTCTGACGCTGCGTGAGTTCCCTGACACACCCGAGACACATATTTATGTATAAAAGACAAGTGCATTTTGCATGATAGGTCCCCTTTAAAGTCTTGCATTAAAGAGAAATTACATGTAATGTCCCCACTGCCCTAATTGTAATACAGTCCCTACATTTCTGTATTTAAATGTTATTTTGGTGATACTATTATTACAGGAACAGTCTGTCTGCATCATGTGTTTCTGTTCAGCTATAGCGTCTAAAGGCCCAGATACACCGGCCAGTCACCTGAGAAGTCGCCGACGCCGACACCGACTGTTGCGTCGCCGGACTCTCCTGCGTATTTGCCGACTTCGCGCACTGGAACACACCGCAAATCCGAGCCGAGCACGTATGAACTGCGCATGCGTGAGTGGCAATAACTCTCCTTACCAGCAGGCGGCGGTAGTGTGTATTCATCATTCAAAAGAGGCAACAACCGGAACAACCGGAAGACAGAGAAGAACAGACTCCGTGATATAAACAAACAACAAATAGCGTTTTTCTTTCCATTTTCACTCTCGTCCATTGAAAAGATGAACGAACAGGAGCTCTATAAACCGATGAGGTGAAATAGCCGTCCGTGTGTGTTCCATCTTCCATTTTAAATCATTTGTTTACCTCCCTCACTTCCGTTAATGCTTCTCAAGCACTGATTCGCTAGCTGAACAGCCAATCAGTGTTATCCCTTTGTCCGACTTCCGGTTGGTGTTCCCGACGTCAGGTCGGCAGAAAAGACCCGACGGTGCGGCGCACACCACTCCGAATAGGGCGTGCCGACGCTCATGTTCGGCCCGACTCCCATTTACTGCCGATTTCGGGCCGGTGTATCTGGGCCTTTACATCGATACTTAAATGTGTTTATCCATATATTCCTAACAAAACACTTCTGTTGCTGCTGTAAGTGTGTGATCCACCACATATAACAAAACAAGTGTTTTCCAAGGGATGTCCTAACGTAAAACTGTTTTAAAAAAGGTATACAGTAAGGACATGATTTTAACAAGATCATGGATGAAATTGTTTAATCATAACTGGGTGTTTGCGGCTTATTTATTTTTTTGGTTTGTTATTTTATCTTTTCTTGATTACCATTTACGTCTTTTATGTATTTGTTTGCATATTTGTTTGTTTATTCATCTGTTTATTTATTTGTTGTTTTATGTTTTTCAATAACAAATGTATTTCTTTAATTAAGAAAATGTTAAATCTTTGTATTATTGTTTTACGCGTTAAAAATAAAAAATAAAATACAAAAATGTAATATGCGAAGCGGGTGGATCTTGATCAGCTTGAAGAATGTTCCTTTCCCCATAATGACCAAGTCGCTGCACATTATCCAGCTTATTACACGGCCATATACTAAACAAACTAAGGAACCGACTCCCAATATTAATTTAAATGATTTTATCGACTTAAAAATGATCGTATTTCTTCCGTTGAGAAAAAAAACCCTCCGTTCCACGGCGCACCAACGGCTGGAACTGCGACAACAACAACTTTAAGGCAGCACTGTCCAAATCTGTTCACAGTTTCAGATCCGCAAACAAGTCCTTAAACACTGCAGAGCCCATACCCTGTTCCTGTTAGTGTTTACTTCCTCTCTACCTTATTCTGGTGGTTTATCTACGTCCAGCGCTCCGTCTTTTACCCTCTTTTACTTTCTCTTTCTTGATCCTCCTTAGCAACGGTCAACAAGTCCTTGACAGCGGTCTGTACCAACTTGTCACGTGTTCTGAATTGACCAATCAGAATCGAGTATTCAACTAAGCCATGCAATACATTTGGTGAATGTCACTGGGGAAAGAAAAAAAAGAATGAACACTACTTGCTCAAAAAAAGGTAACATTATGAATTATATTTTATGTTGTTTGTAACCTGGTGATCATTTAATTTTGGACCCAAAGTATTAACATATTTTCGTACTCCAGACACAAATCTCCAAAGTGCAAACGCAGGCATCTGCTGTGCACCGGGCGTTGAAACTAATGGTCCGGTGTGAACTCAGCAGGTTTCTGGCACCGAACCTTTCCTCTTCTGCCAATCCTCCATCTGCCACCGGATCCACCGCAGAGACACGCTGTGTGTCCCCCTCCATGACAAACTCACAGGAGAATATAGAATATATCTATCTATATATCTATCTATCTATCTATCTATCTATCTATCTATCTGTCTGTCTGTCTGTCTGTCTGTCTGTCTGTCTGTCTGTCTTCCGTCTGTCTGTCTGTCTGTCTGTCTGTCTAATCTCTGCACTGTAAACCCTCAGAAACCCTTACAACTCTTGGACTAACAACAGGGTGTGTACTATTTATAGAACAACAGTCTGTCTGCATTAAGTGATCTATAGAGCGTATGTAAATTGTACTGCAGGTGAATTCAGCTTTGCCAAGGACGTGGTTTGCATGTCCTTTCATATCTCAATCTCAATCTTTATATATTTAAAACAACCTCAGTTGACCAAAGTTCTGTACAGGCAACACATACAATAGAATAACACAATAGGTGTCAAATAATAAAACAATAATTGAAAACAAGATAAAAAGCACAATAACTAGAAACATAAAAACATATAGAAATGTCAAAAGGTCATGTTCAACTAGTATTAAAAGCCAGCGCAAAGAGGTGAGTTTTTAGCATACTCTTGGATGTCAATATTTAGTTAAGAAGCTAAGCCTCTAGCCTAGCCTCTTTGGTTGTTTTAAATAACCATACTCGATCATTTTGTTCTATAAGACATTTGAGTTGCTGGAACTGCTACCTGCGCGACCCGACCACGGATAAGCGGGAGAAGATGGATGGATGACATATTTGAGTGTATTGGCAAAGGAATTTCTGATATTGCCAAAATCTTGTTTTGTGGAGTTCAGTGACCTTGACCCTTGATCACCAAGATCTAATTAGTTAATCATTAAATGCAAGTTGAGGATAGAGACAAATTTGAAGAAATTCCCCTCAGGCATTCCTGAGTAATCGTGTTTACAAGAAAGGGACCGACTGTACCTACGTGAGAATGTAGGCACGACCCAAAAAACATACATCTCTCTGCCATAGCTGTCATCTGCGTGGAGATATAAAAAAAGTTAACTCTCTGCCAACATTGCATTTGTACTAAGTATTTGAAATGAAGTTGGCAAGCTAGCTAGGTGGATAGACTAAGATTGAGACGAGAAGAGAAGTGACACAATAGTATTATTTATTGCCATAAAAGTTTTTACCCTGAATTTCGTGCATTAAAACAAAATCACAAAGCTATGACAGGGTTAGCAAGCATAGGTGACACAACGCAGTACTAATTATAATGATAAATGGGAAATACATTCATGATTGTTTGTTGCTGAGCGATCTCCCCCAATCATCCGATACATATGAAGATCACTGCACTTTGTATTCAATGCATCTGTTAATGCTTCTTCCTTTGTACTTTCACATGACTTTGACAACAACATAACGTACGGCTACCTTTATCTACAAGGGGAACACCAGGAACCCGGAGAACGTGGAGTACTTCCAGCCTCCCATCAGGTTCCCCCTCTCCAGTTTGAGGTAAGTCTTGTCCCCTCGCTCCATTATCACCAGGCCGGCATTAGTGGCAGCTTCTCTGGTCACGTCCTGATCGCCTGCGAATGCTGAAATCACCGGCCAGGCGTTGAGAACCAAACTCACCTGAGGAAGAAAGATGAAGAGGAATAGTATGTGAGTGTGGTGTCAAATTATCATATACTCATTTAAAACATATAGTCTTATACTCTGATTTTCTTTTAAACTGTTAAATTGTATTTTTAGTCTTGTATGTGTTTAACAGAGACATGTGTTTAGGATTTACATTGCAGGAGGGCAATAGGAAATGTAAAAGGGGGATTTGCAAATGGTTAAGGACTGGGGGGTTTCATGGTTTAATGGTGGGGATGTGTAGATGATGCCTAAGGGAATTTAAGGGTGGGACCAGTTGGATATTCTCTACTTTATAGTGTGACTGTAAGCTGTGTCCTGCAGAACTTCTCTACCCTCTGAGGATGAAGTTGCTCTGTTCCTACATTTGGGATCGATTTCACATGTATATTGACTTTCATTATTATTTTATTAAATATATCAGAGACAAACTTTGTCCATGAATCATTTATCAGTTTCTCTTAAGATTTTTCTCCACAATGAGCAGTGGGGAAAGGCATCTGCAGGAAAGTTGTGGTCAGAAAACACGGATTATCTGAATCAGAATCAGAATCAAGTTTATTGCCAAGTACGTTTACACATACAAGGAATTTGCTTTGGTATCTGATGGTGCGAACATAAACAATCTAAAAAAAATTGTTGCTAAGTAGGTAAAAAAAGAAATATATAAGGATAGTAAAAAATAAGTATTTTAAAGAAACACTTTAGCATTAAAAACTGTTGCTAAAGACAAGTATTTACACCAAATTGTAATGTAACTACAAATAACCTTAAAAGCTAAGAAACAAAAACACTTCGGACAATGAGTATATATGGCAAACTCAATGTAATATTTTAAAGTGGAGGGGTTACATATATTGTGTTGGTACTGTAACGGCCCGTCCACACGGCGGCGTGCGTTGAAGCTTCAACGTAGCTTCCCATTCACTTTGAATGGGGTGACGTCACGCTTTGCCGAACTGCATTGTGGTTCCGTCGCTTCGCTTTGCCTCCGATGCTCGCTTTAAAAGTTGAGAAAAGTTCAACTTGTGAAGCTTCGACGGAAGCGTCAGCCAATCAAATCATATGCCAGTACAAGCTCTAGCCAATCAAACCGTGTGATTGGTTGTTGGTCGAGCTTCAGACACGCCCGCCGGCAAGCTTCAGCGCACGCTGCCGTGTGGACGCTGCGTAAGAGTTTTGAATTTGAGAGGGTGCTCTAGACTAGCATTAAGATGCCATTCGTTAATTACAAACATTAGAATGTCTTTATTAAAATGTCTTTAAATAGACTCTAGCATTAAGATATCTTTAAACTAGTTGTTTGTTGTTGCGACGGCAACGTCATTTCCTATAAAGTCCGCCATTTTGTCAGCGTCACTAGAGGCCCAGAGAGGTGGAGCTAGAGGTTATGGCTCTGCAGTGAGCACCACTTGTTGAATTCCATAACAATGTTAGTTTGTAGTTTTACACCCATTTTAATTCATCCACTTATGCTGGCGTTGTAAAAAAGGTTTTGTTTGCCCGTTGGCAGGATATATTTCATACCCTGCAGAAGATTAGTTAAATTAATATTGTTAACAATCAACTATTACACGCTTAGAGCAGTTCTAATAACAGCTTTATGGGTTAGCCAGGAAGTACAAATAACACTTGTCAAGTTTGAGTAACTCTCAGAGTAAAGGAAAAAAAGAAAATTCAAATTAGAATATAGTTTTAAATTAATAGTTTGACATTTTGGGAAATAGCTTAATGGCGTCCAGGCGGAGAAATGCTAAAATGGTTGATTAAGGCATTGGAGGAACTTTAAAGAAGACGCACCACCTTTCCTTTAAATGTTCTTACTTGTATTGTCTGCCGGTTGTACACTTTGACAACATGAAAGCTGAAACTGTAGACTCCTTTTCTAGGCGCCACAAAGATACTCCGTGCTGGGTCAAAATGGCCGCCAACGTTTACTAGGATCTAAAAAGAAGAGAAGATTAGGAGAGAGATCATTATTAACACAACCACGCGTGAGCCAAGCTACTAATAGTGTATTAAAGTGTGAAAATAGTTGATCACAAATCTAGCATTTTGGAAATGTCAGTTCTTAATAAATGCCAGGAGAACAAGAAAGGGAGGATATGAACAAGGTGTTCTGGCAGAAGTCTTGAAAACACAACCTGCAGTTACACAGACAGACGTGATTAATGATTGGTTTTATTGGCTTTCCTTTACAGCTCCCAGACATTGCTCAAAATAAAATGTCATCACCGCTCCGTATTGGTATTTAGCAATAGATCGAGCCAATGATTAATCACTTTTTTAAATGTGACACATGCAGATCAGTGTTTATGACCTTCCAAGAACAAAAAGTGTTGTTAAAAATACCTGAAGTAACGCAATACTTCCGTGTGTAGAGTGGGTTCAGTGACACACTGTCTGTCTTGCATAATGCAGGACACGTTTGCCAACATTGTAGAGCAGCTATCTACGTTCTTTTTTCTTTTTTAAATCAGAAGCAAAGACTCATCAGGCTATTGTTAATCCAAACTGCTGTTAAAGAGGTAACAATATAAGCCCACTGCCTTTTTTTCTGAGAGTTCAAATATCCCACCTCTTTAGTTATGACTCCTTTTCACGTTGGTTAATTAAAGTGCGTAAACTTGGACAAAAGCATGATTTTGAGGTAATGGTTGGGCCCAAGCTGCCAATGCCAATAAAAGTTATATTTGTCAACTTTGTTTATTATGAGTATGTTCATTTTACTTTCCTTTTTGCTTGATTTTGTAATCAATTGGCCTCTATAATGAGTGGTAACACGCTGGTACAACACCAGTCTCTCTTCAATCGAATCTTTTGTACCATGGTTTAAAGATGTAAAGAAACAATCTATCTCACTTATGCAGAAATGTGTTTATGCATTTTAGTAGCGTACTTAAATATCATTGATAAGTAACTTCATCCATTGTGTGGACCTTTGGCGAAACTGTGTAAATGGCCAACAAGAAAGCATATCAACCTTCACAAATGAATATGTATTGACTAGTAAACCTCTTTTTTGTTGCTTCTTAAAGGTCACCTATTATGCAAAATCCACTTGTTCCTGTCTCTTCTACATCAACATGTGTCCCCTCTGTGGAAAGAGACTCTGAAAGTTTCAGGAACAAAGACCCTCTCTCTTTTTGTCCTGATCCATTTCTATAAAAACCTGTCTGAAAATGAGCTGATCAGATTTTGGCCACTTTATGATGTCATAACGATGTTTTGGCAGAGAATCAGCACTTTTGAAACAGGGCTGAAACAGAGGGGATTATGGGATGCTGCAATGATCTGTTTGGTGTTTCAGCCAATCAGAGACATGTTCTGTATATATCTGAGACCTATAATATATTGATAAAAAACAGTGTAATAGGAGACCTTTGAAAACGACAATTTTTGGAGTCATGTATCCTACAGAATCCCACCTGATCAAAGTAGATGGTCATCGTGCGGTTGCTCATCTCCGAGGGTTCATGGTTGGTGTTTCGAATGGCGGAAAACGCAACCCTGCCGCTTCCTGACCTCACCGACATGCCCAAAGCGTTCCCCGACGGCTCCGCAGACGGCGTGGAGTCGCACACCACCAGACACTTTCCCTCCAATATCATTGGCTCTGTGTCATTCTGGCAGTTGACCTTTTCGGGCCCCCAATTGACCAGAAGCAACAGTCCAATGAAAATGACTGAGCGGGGGGCAAGGTAGGGCAAAAAGGGAGGAAATAGAAAGGGCATAGTTCCAAATATGGGGTTTTTGGTTCTGTTTTACGGGGCTCAGTGACAATATAGCTGCCACAATCTTCAGTGTCTTATCGAAGAACACTTCACTGTAGCAACAGGATCATAATTTCACCTTGAAAGACCAATGATTTCTCGCATCCCATGGGACTAGATTGAATCCTCACGTAACCGCTCTGACAACAGCAGGTGGAATTGCAGTCCCTCTTGAAAGACGTCTAAGAGCTGGCGAGATGGCGGATGCCCATAACAGCACGTACAGTTGTAGAAAATCCAGATAAGAATAGTTGAAAGTTATCCAGTTCTTTATGCCGCATCAAAAATGGACATCAGCCAAATGAACTGGTTTGGAGGCTGTCGAGACTTCAGGCCTGTTTGAAGGAGTAGACACAACATCGCACAATTATTTTCTTTAGATTAACAACCAATCACATGACAGGTGCTTGGCTACTGTTGGGGCAGAACCTCTGCTCCGCGCTGTTCCTATATGAGCGGGTTTTAAAAGAAGGAAAAGTCAAAGCAGCCAGGATAAGGGTTAAACAATAATCTGTTTTAATGGTAGAACATACAATACATCACCCAATCTCCTATTCACCTAACCACGAAGCACTCTGCAGAGTACTCCGGGCTCAGGTTCTACCACCGCGTGAGACACGTCTCAGGAACGGCCAGTCAAAAACAAGAGCGCGAACCAAAGGATTCTTCTTCTTTTTATTTAATGGCGAATCGCTTCCACTTGGAGCATATATCGCCACCTACTGTTGAGTTATTACATGTTCATATTAAATCCTTATCCTCAGACCAGTGCTTTTGAGGAATTTGAAGATCAGCTTGTTTGCTTCATTTCTTGGTTTACTTTCATATATTGCCTTGAAATCCATGTCCTTGATGTTGAGTTGTTCCAGTGCAGTTTTCAGAATGAATCTTTGTCTGTTATAATCCGGGCAGCTAAAAAATACATGATGTATTGTCTCTGGTTGTTGGCAACCATCACAATTACCATTTGGATGTTTTCCAATCAGATGCAGTGATGAGTTTAGTCCAGAGTGTCCCAATTTTATCCTGCTGTTAATGCTCTGT